TTAAACTTGGAAATGTCAAATTGTGTCCAGTTTTTGAATTATTGTAGTTTAGTCCCCCAAGTCCCCATCAGATTGATGTTTCAAAAAACCCATAGCAGATATTCTTGTTAACACATGTGCATCTCATTTTTTAGATTTCTGAACAGCTTATTTTCTTCTTCTTGTTAGGGGAGGAATAGTGGATATATTATGCAAAGGATGCTGACTGTGGAGCTGCCAGGTTAGAGTAGTAGTGAAGAAGGACATGCAAAGGGTTGGGGTGACAGAATAGGTTGCAAGAAATAGGGTGGAGATGGAGGAAGATCCAATGTGGGAACCCTCTTAAAGGGGACTGCTGAAAGAAGAAGAGGAAGAAGAATGTAATGTAATAAAGAACGTGTAGAACCCAAAACGTGTTGCTTCTTCTTGTTGTGTAATAATATCCAATAGAAGGATCAAGACAAAGTAGAGTGGCATACTTTACAAATAAATGTTCATACACTGAGTGGATTAGGATGCTCTGGGTTAATTTAATAACTGCTGAACCAGCTACAGCAGCTAGAGCTTATGGGATGAGGTTTTAAAAACCTCATCCCATCTCATAGTAATAGAGATCTTTTACAACCATCAGGGGAAATTACTGCCAATTTCTTGGTGGTCCATGTAATTAACCCATGTCAGCTTTCTTAGACTCACAAAAGATGGAAAATAAACCCCGTGTAGACCCTAACCTTTCAATCTGGTGTCACATAAAGTGAAATGGGGCTATTTAAAGGTGGACAGCATCCCTAATTTTTACATGACAAAGCTGCTTTAAAATAATTTACTTCTAACAGTGAAGGGGAAAATAATTTTTTCTATTGATGAAAAGTTTGTCTATAGATGGGAATTCATTATCTTCTCATGCTCTGGGAGGCTCAAGAGGGTGGATGTTTGTTGTTAATGGAGTCAAGCCTAAGTTAAAGTCTCCCCACTCACATCTTTTTGTGTATGAGTAGAGAATTGTCTTACTCCTTGTTCGAGCTCCTCACTAGAGGAAAGAGTACTGGTCATACTCGAACTCATTGAATGAAATGCCAATTGAAATTCTCTAATTTCAATAGCCTGAGTAACAGCACAGGCCAGTTAAGTGTAAGGACAGACTACATTTTCTACCTGATCTGAGCTGAAAAGCGACCACGTTTGATGATGACACGTTTGCCCAAAGACAACTGCATGCAAAATCATTGCCTAGAACAGGAGTGTCCCAGTCCAGGCCTCAAGTGCCGGTGTCCTGCAGGTTTTAGATCTCACCCTGGGTCAACACACCTGAATCAAATGATTAGTTCATTACCAGGCCTCTGGAGAACTTCAAGACATGTTGAGGAGATAATTTAGCCATTTAAATCAGCTGTGTTGGATCAAGGACACATCTAAAACCTGGGGGACACCCTCGAGCCCTTGAGGCCTGGAGTTGGACACCCCTGGCCTAGAATGAGGTCAACACCCACTGCAGACAATGCAGGCTGAAATCCCCACAAAATAATAGAATCTGCTTCCAGTTTGTATTCTGGAAGCAAACACCATCTCTACTTTCAAGATCAGGCTTAAAACATTCCCTTTTGATAAAGCACGTAGTTAGGCCTGGATCCTTCCTTGTAAAGCAAGGTTTACACAATGCTTTACAAGATTTCGGGTGATCCCTGAAGCTAGCTTATTGTGTGGTAGCGACTATTCAAAACATTTGTGTTAAATGTTTGAGTCAAATGTCCCCATGTTATTACTCAGTTATTTAGCACTAAATGGTTGTTGTGTCTGCATTGCAACCACAGTTTATGAAAGCAGCATGCTAACCAAGCTTGCTAGTATTAACTGATAAAGTAGCAGTCCACCCTTTTACCTATGTAAGGTTTCACTCACACAGGGCCAGAGCCCCACAGTTGTGGTGTTGTGCCAAAAACCTCCTTGTGCTAGAAGATTTGTTGCAGTCATCTGTAACTTTCATGAAGATGCTAACTTGTCTGCAGAAACTCACCAGCTACTCTCCAAGTGGTAGGCAATAATCTTCTGATGGAAAAACTAAATGCTGTAGCCTATCTCTGATCCACTGTTTTAAAAGCTGAGCTAATGCCATTAAAGAGCAAACACCAGTATCTGCAGCCATCATAATCTCATTTTCAATTTTAAACTTTTAATTCAATTCATTTTACGATAAAATGATTGAAATTGATTAAAAATGTTATGCACATCTTTTTTTTTTTTTTTAAACAGATACAAGATCTTTCCCTATGCCATTACCAGGGGTACACTGACCAGTCACTAGACCTGTATGAATTGGAAATCACAGTAACTCTTAGCACCTTTCAGAAACCCCACACAATTTGTTGGGGAATACCTATTTTTGATTTTTTTGATTGCATGATGTTCCTGGGACAGAGTGAGATGGAGGCAGATAATCCACTGTGACAACACCTAAAGGGACCAGTCGAAAGAAGAAGATGGTGATCATCTAGAAGGAAACACGAATAAAAAAGGCCCTCAGATTTTTATGTAAATTTTGTTTTGTCATTTCATTGAGCACGTTAAGAGCTGGAATACAAACTAACAAACACTGCATTTTCTTTAAATGGGATTGTGTGGGCAGCACGGTGGCACAGTGGTTAGCACTGTTGCCGCACAGCAAGAAGGTCCTGAGTTCAATTCCAACATCAGGCCGGGGTCTTTCTGTGTGGAGTTTGCATGTTCTCCCTGTGTTTGCGTGGGTTCCTTCCGGGTACTCCGGCTTCCTCCCACCGTCCAAAGACATGCAGCTTGTGGGGATAGGTTAATTGCATAATCCAAATTGTCACAATGTGCGAATGAATGTGAGTGCGAATGGTTGTCTGTCCCTGTGTGTTGGCCCTGCGACAGACTGGCGACCTGTCCAGGGTGTACCCCGCCTCTCGCCCTATGACAACTGGGATAGGCTCCAGCACCCCCCGCGACCCTGAAAAGGATAAGCGGATGGATGGATGGGATTGTGACTATGGCAGGGGTAGGCCTTACCTTCACTGTTTCAGTGAAGGGAGAGTTTTACTCGCTCTGTAACAGACACAGACTGAGGGAGGAGTAGCGGAATAAGAGAGAAATAAAAGACTGCAAAAGCAACATCGTCTGCAGTCTCTGCAACTCCCCTCCCCACCATGTCTGTTGAATTGTCAATCATTTTCTCAATGGAGCAGATGGAGCAGGACAGATGTTCCACTAGAGTATGGGAGTGCTTATTTGCCTGTGCGTGTCTGAGTGGAACACTGAAGGAGACATAGTGAATAAATTGAATCTGCAAGGAAAGTGGACCAAGGAGGAAAAGATAATAAAAGGAAACAAGAGCATTTTAAGACACCCGGTATAGATAACCTGCTAGCTCATGTTGGTGTAGTTCATTAAATGATCAGTAGGAGATCTAGTGCAAATTCTCCAAAAGAAATATAGATAATTGTGGTTGAAAGCACATTTATACAATAAATGCTACTTTAATTTTATAGCTATGGGTTTGTAGATTAAGATTGCACATATATGACCTAATAAATGTCATTTATAGAACAACTGATATAAACATGTTACCAGTTCATATGTGATAGATTACTATTTAAATGGCTCTTAACTATTTTTACTGAGCACTACAAAGCACTTTAAACACTACATGCCACATTCATCCACTCATACCACACAAATTCATGCAGCACTTTAATTCCATGCCTTTAATTGCTTTTTCACTATACGCCCAGACGATTATAATGGATACACTGGGTGCAATTTAGGAACACTGGAAGCCTGCAGACTGGAAGAGCTAGGGATCAAACTGCTGACCTTCATTACAAGTATTAGTAGATTACTAAATGGCCCGTTCTATCACCTGAGCCCTAATTTGCATGTAAATAACATGAAATGCTAGCTAAAGTCACTCTAATTTATGTAGTTTTTTTTTTTATTTCAGTCTACTGTTATTTGTTATCTTCTTTGTGTATTTGAATGTGAAAATGGCATTGAAAAGATAAGTTGCTTTTTTTAAATGAAAAAAAAAACACCACCCAACAAGCTAGAAAAATGCTGTTAATGGTAAACAAATAATAGTTCAATAATAAAACATTCAGTCATATGAAAGTACTGCTAATGTGCAGAATATACTATTAAATCTCTGCCAGAAAGCACAATTTTGGAAGAGAGAGTAATTATTTGACCTCAAGTAAGCTGTTGCATTCTAAGGAGAGTTTACAGCAACTAAGTGTAGACTGCTTGAATGGAAAATATTATATTTTTTATTGTTGTTTTTTTTTTGTTGTTGTTATTTTTTACACAGTGTATTACGTTCGTTACAAGGCAGCAACAAAGGCTGAATCTTTTCATTCAAAAAAAGTTACTGAAACCAGCAGCGGGCGGAAATGTGAGACGCCGCAACAGCAGCACCATGGCCAGCGCCTGGCCGAGGCAGTGACAGCGGATCCTTGCTCCATTTTGGATGCAAACGGTGTTTTACAGGAAAAGCGGAAAGGGGAGATATGTGGTGGCCAAGCGCTCTCTTTGAATAAAATACGCCTGCCCTGGTCTCAGCCTCCCACTGCCGCTGTCGGGCTTGCGACTCAGAAAAAGTAACAAAGAAAAATAATGATTCTATGTCAAAACGTATTTCCTCACTCGATGTCATGTTGCAAACCAAAATAAGATAAGTCCTTTCAGTAAAAATCCGTTTGTTTGTTTTTTTATTCAAGCAGGCAAAGTTAAGATAGCTTGCGCTCATAAAGTCTACAATAAATGTAGCAGCTGTGATAAGACAGATAAAAAGGAAAACTGAATATTGAAAATGTCGATAATAATTCGCCTTTAGGCGTGTATCAGCTAAAAGTACGAGCTGTGTTTACTCTGTGCTAACTTAACTAAAGCCTACTCATGAAATGATGCGTCTAACCACACTGGAAGGTGTTACAGTAATCCGTTACTTCTCCGCCTCGCCTCTAACATCTCTACGTTTGCTGCTTTGTCTGCGCATCCTTGTGGGTTCTCCCTTCGCAGTGTCGGTGCTACGCCTCTCAGCCATTGGCCTCAGAGACCATCCGTCTTCCCTTCACAACAATAGACCCCTGCTCGCTCGCTCGCTCGCACGCACGCACACGCGCCTTCTGCTCACGCGCAGACACAAAAAGCGCGCAGTGCTTTCGAGGAGTGACGGTGAAATGTTTAAACTGCGGTTTGCCGATTCTTTCTTTCTTTCTAGCTTCACGTCGGCGAGGAGCGCAGGGAAGCCTCTGCGATGCGCTCAACGGGGGACACGTCGGAGTTGAAATAAGGGAAACATTGGGGCTTGGGTAAGAAAACCGGAAAGCGGTTTGTTGGGGCTTTTTTTTTTTTTACGAGGATGACTGACTGGTGACAAAGAATACGGGGAGCCCCTCTGGCTTCGGTTGACATCCGCTATATAACTTTACGGAAGACATTTTTGTGGGGACCGGTGTGCTCTTACTTGGACAGACAAAGATTTTTTTTCTTCCATCATTATTATTATTTTTGGAAGGGGAACCATGCCTGTCCGGAGGGGTCATGTTGCGCCACAAAACACATTTTTGGGAGTAATTATTCGGAAATTCGAAGGACAAAGTAAGTAGATTTCCTGGGTGTCAGGTACTGTGTGGGTGCACTGTGCTGTGCTGCTTGTCTTTTGTGTCTGTCCCGCTGCTCCTCGAGATCAGTTATTGTTAGGAATAGGCCTTCTTTTATACACCAGCAAGGCTTTGGATGGCTAACCCTGTGATGTTAATGCCAGAAATCCATGAAAGTCATTATGAGTCAATTACCATACTGTGTTATCGCGCACCAGGTTTGTTTAGGTCTGGTGTCCTTCTCATTTTCTCCTGCTCCGGTGGGAAATGTAGTTTAAAATGCTGCATGTGATATACACGGATTAAAGGATTAACGTAATTAATTACAGATTTTATCCCCCATATATGAATTTAGCTTTTAAAAATGGGTTTCAGTTATGCCTCAAATCTGGTTTTTACAACTCAAAAATGTGCATCAGTTGTCTCCACATTGTTGTTTTAAAAAAATGTCAAATTTAACGCCACCTCGTTAATAGAAAGTGGAGTATTTAAGCCTACTAAGGATTTACTGAACATGCTTATTGTCTAGAGCAATCCCACCTACATGTGAAGTTTCATAATTTTATTCAGTCAGCTGAGTAGCATTCAGGACTGTAATTCTGGATAATCCCATACAAACCAATACACCTACTTGTATTAGTTAAATAAAACATTTGTTATACTTTTTCATATTCTTATTTATGTGCAAATAGTTTAAAATTACATATATAAACACGGTAACACTCTTTCTCCCCCAATTTCTTCTCTGCCTCGTCACAGATAAGAAATTCATCATAGCCAATGCCCGGGTGCAGAACTGCGCTATTATCTACTGTAATGATGGTTTCTGCGAGATGACGGGCTTTTCCAGGCCAGATGTAATGCAGAAGCCATGCACTTGTGACTTCTTGCATGGCCAGTTCACCAGTCGGCACGCTGTGGCCCAGGTGGCCCAGGCACTGCTGGGGTCCGAGGAGCGCAAAGTGGAGATCACCTACCACCGCAAGGATGGTGAGTGTTGCAAGGTTCAGGTGACACATGCAGAACTTGACATAAGGCTGCTGCAATAGTCTGACATTGAAATCCACACTGGCTGGAAAGCTGCTTATGTTTTGACTTTATGTTGTGATCCCTGTTATACCTTTCGATGTAAAGAAATTGCTTAAAATAATACAGTTTTTAAATCTAGTGTTACAGTGTTTGAATTTGAATAGATTTTGTGCTGCTATCTGCAAGGAAAGCCTGTAGATGAAGAAAAAATACGTGAAGGGTGACTTGTACAACATCTGCCAGTGTAGGTACATTTAGTGTGTAATTTTTAGTTCTGAATCAGTTCTAGCTGGAGCATTTTGCAGCAGCAAATCACTAAGTGCACCCATTTAGAACCCTGAGGGGGGAAAAGAGCAACTGTTAAAGTTTTGTCTCCCATGATGTCCAGTTTTGAAATGATGCATGCACTGAATGACTGGGAAAAGGTGTTCATTAGCCTTCGCCGGATAGGACACTCCGGGAAGGATGTAGCTCAGCTCCCTTAAGACCAATGTGAAGATAGTCAAGCGTGCGGTTTCTCTCTTTCTGTTCTTGCCATCTCTCGGTTTCTCCTCAGTTTACTGAACACATATGTCACTCTTCATTCTGCTACTTTACATTTTCCAGTGTAAGCCTCCATAGGTGTGGCAGTTGTCTGTAAATGACTCATCTATGATTAAGATGATGTAGCATGCATATGCTAATTCATGACTTGACAGCTGGGATAGTTTTGATGAAATACAAAGTTAGCTCCAAAGTGAAAGTTTAACTGTTTGATTCACATCAACTGTGTTGGTTCAGGGAGAGTTCGTGTGCTGTCCTCTAATCATGGTATATGTATTCAGATGATTAAGTCTCCTTGCGTAACACTTAAGGACCAGTAAAGTTGCACTGTGATTCAAACAAGGATTAATAGTTTTGTAAGAACTTTGTAGGGAGGATCCCCATGTGGTTGTGTGTTTTAGGAATTGTTTATTTTTTTGTCTTGAGCTCAGGGATCATTCTACAGCATTTCTTATGACTTTTAAGAGTTGGCTACAACATCAAGTAATAATACTTGTATCAATATGTAATGACCAACGACCTATAGGGCCAGTATCTGCTTCGGAACAGAATGAGCACTGCCAGAGCCCTACAAAATGACCTCCAGCAGGCCCCTAGCATGAATGTCTCTGACCAAACAATCAGAAACAGAGTTCACGAAGGTGGCCTGAGGGCCCAACATCCTCTAGTAACATTGTTCAGCATGACCGGTTGGGTGGTGGGTCAGTGATGGTTTAAGGAGGCATATACACGGAGAGACACACAGACCTCTACAGGTTCAGCAACAGCACCCAAACTGCCATTAGGTATCAGGATGAAGGCCTTGGACCCATTGTCAAACCCTATGCTGGTTCTGGGTTCTTCCTGGTGAACAAGAATATCTGGCTTCATATGATGAGAGTATGCAGGCAGTTCTTGGAGGATGAAGGAACTGATACCACTGACTGACCTCCACACTTACCTGACCTAATGCCAATACAACCCCTCTGGGACATTATGTTTGGGTTCATCCAACATGGCCAGGTTGCAGATTGTCCAGGGGCTCAGGAATGCCCTAGTCCGTATCTGGATCCCCCAGAACACAATCTATCGTCTCACTGGAAGCATGCCCTAACATTGTCAGGCATGCATACAAGGATGTGGGGGCCATACAAGAGTACTATTTTGACTTGCTTCAACAAAATCTATTCAAAATGGACAAAATGTTGTTTATTAAACAACACTTTTTGGCTTTTGTCTGGAAAAACAAAAGCTAAAAAGACTGTCTTCAATTACATTATACTTTGAATGGGACCATACTTTAACATCCAAAGGAGTCTTTGCAGATGTTTAAGTTTCAAAAATACATTTTAAAGGTGGACTGGCGAGACCATAGGGCAGTTTTTAACTTTGCCTCAGGTCATCTTCAATGAGGCAGTTTCCAATTAACATGCCTGCACTTCTCGAGTTTGTTTACACATTTAAGTTGATCGTGCGTTTCTGTGAAAAGCTTTGGACTTCAGGCGCTGTAGTTGAAATCCTGAAATTGACTGTACTTTTGCAGTTTTCAGTCATTTGTTCCCATGTATTCAAATTCAAAATGGGGGGGGGCTTTATTTTGAAATAAATGCAGCTTTTACAAAATGGTGTTATATCTCTGCTTTTGAAATGACATTTTTTCAGGGACAGTGAAATAACATCCTGTCAGGAGGATTTGTTTTGACGCTTGATGTGTAATCGGCGCTGTGGTTCAATCAGGATGACGCATGCTTCAAAGACTGAGCTTTTTTTTGTTTGTTTGTGTGAGTATGATTGTGTATGTAATGTATAAGAAAATCCAGACCAAAAGAAGGTGATGTAGATTAGGTCAAAAGCAGCTTATGGAGCAGTCACAAAGACATAGATGTTTGTGGTCAGAGGTTAAAAGAAAGTGATAAAGATAGAGAAAAATTCTTGAGGGAATAGGCAGAGAGGAGATGTCAGCCCATGTTTTTAAGAAAAGTGTTGTGCTACAGCCTGAACCTGTAACACCTTTCAATATAAAATCTAGCTTTGTGTTATATTGGCCTTGCTGAGCTTTTTGTAAATGTTGCATCAGTAATGCTACATTTTCCCTTTGCTTATCTAAATGGTTTTGTTCTATATTATATTTATAATTATATTTTACATTCTGAAACCATAAAGTCCATTTCAGATTTTTTATTGATTGCATGAGAACTTTATTTTTGTGTCAGAGAATTTCTGCACCCTTTTTGTGTAATAAATGTGAGTTATTGAACACCTAGCATGAACTCCAGGCCTCGAGGGGCAGTGTCCTGCAGGTTTTAGATAACACCCAGGGTCAACACACCTGAATCACATGATTAGTTCATTACCAGGCTTCTGGAGAACTTCAAGACATGCTGAGGAGGTCATTAAGCCATTTAAATCAGCTGTGTTGGATCAAGGACACATCTAAAACCTGCAGGACACCGGCCCTCGAGGCCTGGAGTTCGACACCTGTGACATAGAGGATTCATAGTTAAAAGTCCTGTCTTCCTTCTCTCATCCCTAACGGTCGCGGCAGATGGCTGCCCCTCCCTGAGCCTGGTTCTGCTGGAGATTTCTTCCTGTTAAAAGGGAGTTTTCCCTTCCCACCGTCACCAAAGTGCTTGCTCATAGAGGGTCATATAATTTATGGGTTTTTCTCTCTCTATATAATTGTAAGGTCTGCCTTACAATATACTTTGATACTGGTCTGCATTTCACAAGTTTGCGTGAAGCTGATTTAAGTGTATATTTTTTAGCCTATATTTTCACTACAGTGGATCAGAGTCGGTCCTCCTGTGCTTAGTGTATGCGTAACACTAGCTGAACACGAGTTCAGCTAGTGCGCTGGCCAGAACGAGCTTCCCTGGCATCAGCAATATGACTTACATTATTGTTGCCACTGTCACCAAAATTAGCTGGGGTGTGATTAACAAACTGCCAATATTTTGAGTTGTCTGTCCGTCCAGGCGTTTACCAGTTGGAAAGATTTTATGAGACAGCCACACTATTCACTGTTCTACTCTTCTTTGCATGTCCATTGTGGCACATTTTAAATTGGTAACATTCTTTCATAATGGAATTTTCTTTTAATACTTAAAGGATTAAACTAACTGACCATTAGGAGTCTAATGCTCCTCTAGGCCAGTTTGTCAGCTAAGACAAGCTGGACGTTCAGCGTCCATTGATCTGCTGGGCAAACAGTATTAACGATTACACAAATACCTGCATGTTGCATTGATCTCTGAAAACAGTGTATTGGAGAGTGCAAATCAGTCGTGGCCAAACATCCACCCTCTGTTGGCCCATCCACAGGAGATCTAAAGTGAAATTGGACAGTTTGTTAATAATAACAATGTTCATTGGATTTAGACTGTTGGGCCCTACAGCAAGGGAAATGCCTTATTACTATTCTGTATCCTGGTTCCTAATTACCACAGTGTTTTCCTCTTACCTGAGTCAGAGTTTCTCCAGGGAAGGTCATACACCTGTTTCAACTTGGCAGACTGCTGTTAAACATCCTGCTTGTATTAGGATAAGCAAGTATGGGTACATGTATTCATACATGTAAATCATCTTTTCTTTTGAATTTATATAAATATATTTTTAGCTTTTTATGTAATCTGGTATGTTTGCAGATATGTTTAACCATTTATAATCTTTGACGGCAAAACATTCTTGTGATCACACTGTTAATACAAATGTGCTGAAGCAGGCAGCTCCATTTGTAAAAAATACACATATTATTGTGTCTTTACACAATAATATGTCTTTGATACAGTCTAGCAATGGATAAAGTCATGTAACTGAAGCACGGTTGTTTGTCAGTGATGGACAACAATTAGAATTTCTTTTAAAAAATGCACCAGCTGTCTTGAGTGGTGCTGCAGTGAAAAAAATCCAGAAAAATCAGGTTTAGCAACTCCCAGATTTATACATTTATGAGAATAGATTTAGATGTAACAGCCAGCAATCAGAGAGCCTTCAGCCTCTGTCTCTATTGTCTTCTGTATTAGGATTTTAGGAGAAATGTCATTGCAGCAGATCTCATTGTGGTGCTCTGTAGGAGTTTCCTCAAGCCAATCTTCTTTTTAATCCCAGGATCCTAGGTCGATATAAGCACATTGCCCAATGCCCTTTACAGTCCATGAAGGAGATTCTGCTCATCAGCACAATCTCTGGCACATTGTTAATGCTTTATGATTTTTGCATTCACTGGACCACTGGTCCTTTTTCCTTTCAGTGTATCTGACTTCTGTCATTAAAGTGGAAATTGTTTCCAACTGCTGGGGAAAGTAATTGTAAATAGTGTGCTGAAGATACGCAGTAGTAATACAAAATATGCATTCGGTAATGTATTTCATGAGTTTAATATGTAAAGTGTGTTAAATACAGACAATTCACGCAAAATAGTTAAAAGATTGAAAGAAATT